CCTTCGTCTTCTCCTGGTCACTCTCCAAATTCCTTCCATTTTGTCTAATTGATCACGTCTTTTGGATTTTAAAATCTAACATGCCTACCGCAGTACATAGCATGTAGTTAGAGAAGCCTAACTTTATCCCATTAATTTGGGTCCAAAGTGGCCGAAAGCTCCTATAATCTCCTTTTAAGATTCATATAGGTCCAATAGACCAAATGGCTATCCAATTATACTAATTAATTCAATTATGACAAGATTAAGTAACTTAATCCTTAATTAATTTTATTTAAAATTTTAAGATGTTACAGCCATTCATTGCTATAAAATAGTACAAATAGTTACAAGAGTACCAATACAAGTTTAACACGCATAGAAAGAGACATAATTTTTGATTAATTGTGTTAAGTTATTTTCATCTTTTGGGGATTGTTCTGGTGATTAGTTACTGTATATGGACATGATACGTTGCGTGGGCTATCCACTAGAGAAGCAATTCATATATGATCATGCTTTCCATCTTATCTCACATTAATTATTGCAATTTCAGGGTGTGTTTCTTTTTGCGTCAAGAAAGTGTTCATCACTGAGTGGAAATCGACATTCAACACATACACGCTTTTGAGAGAGTTCTAACTGTGGAAATAGAGCAAAAATATACAATGATGGGAGGCCCCAGTGCTCATTATTTGACGGGAGCCTCCAATAGGCTAGATTTGTCACTTAGACTGGCTCACATGCACGCACCATTAGCCCGAGTGTACATGTCAATATTAATGAATTCAACTTCTTGGTTTATTAAAAAATTTTTAAAAAATAGGAGCTAAATGAATAAATTAATCCAAAATCAACTAAATTCCAAGAAAAAACACATTTGCCAACCTGAAAGCCTAGCAGCATATATACTCCCTTATAAATGGAAAATCGCAGATTCGATCCTGCTAGTAAGTTGTAATTTTAGACTGTGTCAGTGCCTGTCTTTTTAAATAAAAAAAACATATTCAATAATTTAAGTCACTAAATCCAAGAGGTGGTAGGAAAAAGCTTAATGCATGCTATAATTTGATTATGAATTTGTGATCATTTGGAGCACTTATGATTTGGAGTATTCCGTGAATTTTGCCATTTTATTTAGGTTGACTTCATTAAATTGTTAATCATTTGATTATCTGTAATTATTATACCTGGATTTTTAATTTGTTGAGATTCCTAATTTTTGTCATATGCAAATATCATCGATTAAATAAATACATAGAGCATGGTTTACTCTCAAATCTCAATTTTGTCCCCTATACTCCTGTGGTCATCTGCACATTTCATCAATCTTCTCTCTTCACAGTTAATCTAATTTCACAACAAAACAATCGAGTGATAGAAATAATGGAGAATGATAAATAAGGACATTGTAATAATATTAATGTCAAATTAAAAACTTCAATGCTGAAACATGGCAGAAGTAATATTGAAATTTGAGAATATTAGTATAAAAAAAAACCTAATTTGATATTAATGTTCTCACTGAATCCTTATTTGTCATTTTCTCTAGAATCAACAGAATAAGAACAATGCATGAAAACCTATAAGAACTCATTAACCTCATACGGTGGGGAAAATAATTACATAGAGCATGTCCCTTGTCCTTAAAAATAATTCTATAAAGCAGCAGCTACTTATTCACACCACCACCAGGTTCATGTGCAGCGTGACGAGATTGATGACGTCTGTTAACACTGAACTCCAATGGGGTTTTTTTCATTGCACTTACTGAAGCTAGCAGGCATGAAATAAAGGGATATGAAAAAAATAAAAACAAAAACAGAGTTTGCATGCTCCAGTGCTCTTCTTGATCAGTATATATTATCTAATGTGAACCACAAGTTGATCTGCCTTTCCATTTATCACAAGCGAAGGCCTCCCAATTTCTTTCTTTCTTTCTTTCTTTTCTTTGTTGCCCTTTTTAAAGGCGAGAGTGAAAAACAATTTTAATCTTTTGAATTTTTAATACCCTGGTGAGGCAGACGTATCCTGGAAAGATGTGTTCTTCTCCCAAATAAATAAGCACATATAATAATAAGCTCATCAATCAATGGAAAAGGCATACCATCCAAACGCTCCGGATCTAGCTATTTTAATTCGTATGTGCTTTCTAGCTGCATCATCAAATACCCTTGGCTTTTCATGAGAATTTAGAAGAAGAGTACACATCTCAAAAGAATGGATTGGATAAGAGAATTATCAATTTTTTAGATTTAAAAGACCCCTTCTATAATTAGTTCTTAAAATACAGCAGGGCTGGTAACAAATGCAAGATAAAAGCATCTTATATGTTCTAATATGTATTAGGAGAACTGTAAATAAAGGAGGAGAGAGGATCTGTGTGATAAAGAAAAATACAAGAGGTGACACAGACAGTGGGTTCATAAAATGTCTGCGTACATATTGTCGCTACTCGATCATAATTTAGAAGAAAATGCATATATGGGACCACCATTATAATCTTTAATCCTTGATGGAGAAAAGCCCTGTTATGATTAAATTAAGTGATCTGCTCACAGCATGGTTATTGGTGCCATCCACGTCATGGAGGTCTCTCCCCCCCCCCCCGCCTCCTTTCTCGCCCATTCTCATTCTTTCCTTTAAATTGAATTATTTTCTCCACTAGATAACAGTACCCACAAGCAAAAGTCTACTCATTTCTTTTCACTGTAATTTCTCTCCACTGCACTTCCACAGGAAATCTCAGCAGTTCAGATCAAATTTTAACAATATGAATTAATCTGTATTTTAAAAATTATCAAATCGAATCTGACGGTCTAGATACGCATTGTCGTCTTTACTGCAGTGGGGAGAGGCCACTTCAGGGAAAAGTAAGTTCAATGTTCACAGGAATCCCTATCACAAATGGAGTGCTGTTTGTATAGACAGAGGCTAATGACGCAATATTCCACTATGCAATTCCACATCCTTCTTGCGCTTTGTGGTTCAAGATGGCCTCAATTTCACATCTGGACCTCTCAAATGTATTCACACCAAACATTCTTTTTTTTTTAAAAAAAATAATTTGAATCCAATGGATGCCTCTTGCACTTGCAGTATAATTACATTTTGGATATATCTAGAGAACTAAGTGCGCTAGCAACAATACATTGATCACTAAACTCCGCTGTTAAATATGAGATTGTCGAATCCCTTTCTAATTATATTAAAAAAAAAAAAGATATTGTGTTGTGAGATCTAACTCGTGAGAGAACAAATTGAGCAGATTGATTAATGTTGCGTTAACTTAGAAAATATATCTAGAGATAGAGTTGAGAATACGGTCGGTTTCTCATTTTTGGTTTTGTTTGTCAAACCCGACCCTTATGTGAAGGGTTGAGGGTCAAGCCCGCAAGTTCTTTTATAAAAAATAAAAATAAAAATAAAATTAAGCATTATAAATTTATTAAAATATTTTAAAATTAAAAAAATTAAAATTTTCATAATTTTTTAGAAATTAAACAGCACACGTTTAGAAGTCTAGTAATAAAATTTAAATTTTAATTAAAAAATAGTTCATTTTTATAAATACATAAACATAATAATTATAGAAAAATAAAGATTATCAGAAATTTTATACTATACATTGATATTTATTAAATTATATTAAATAAATTTTAAAATAAATTAAAATTAATAATAATATAATACGTGTAGGATCAAGTGAGCAGGTCATTGACTTCAAACATGTGTTCCACCAAATAAGAAAATAATAACAATAATATAACAGAGCTTGAAGAGTCGCCCGATTACGAGCCTTTTTTTACAGGGCTGGACCAAGCCTTCAAACTCGATCACTTTAAAAAAAATCATTTTCAAAACTCAAATTATTATTTAAACATAATCTTCAAGCTCACTCTTATTCCTGGCTCTACCTAGAGACAAGATGTTAGACATGAACAGTTCATGTCACATTAAAGTGAAAAAAAAAAAAAAAAGCTTCCCAACATGACTAGGCCATGGCCCATGGGCTAAGGGGTGAGAGAAGCGTGGAACAAAAGGAAGCTTGATTTACTTTTGTCTCCAGAAACGGGGCTAGCCCCAGTTTGGCTCTTTTGGAAACCTAGAACATTACTGAACGGCTGATCAGCCCCATTTGGTTTTCACTATTTAAGTGTCGCGAATTCCGTAGGTACTTTCCTGAGAATTAAAGGAAGGAAAAAACTTGCGTGATTATTCCATCCAGCTCTGCCGGGTCAACGTTCTAAATTCTGCCGCTAGCTTAAATATGCATGTACGTATAGCATAACGTCAATCAGCTTTGAATTAACAATGTCATTATATTATCTATCTCCATTTTCATTATACAAGAGGGAAAAAGATATAATGTTAAAAAAATCTTAATGACTTCTTCCTGTTCTCCACTTTTAAAAGTTTTGTTCCCTTCCGCCACTTTAGTCTATATGCTGGCCTATCACTAAAATCCGGGAATGCAAAGATGGAGAGAATATCCATCTACTTCGTCTTCTTATTAGTTCTTATCATTCGTCTCCCTCGACCATTAATGTGTTTTTCATCCATTTTGTAGTATATATTTTAAAATGGTAGTAAGGACGCAAAATTTTCTTGGACAGTCTTCGGCTCTTCGCGGAGGAAGCTTTTTTTTTTTGGGGGAAAAATAGAGCGTTGCAGACCTGGAGATCAGTCACATATAAGAAAGTCTATATCTGCTCCTATATATGTGTGTGTGTGTGTGTGTGTGTCAGTGATTAGTCAGAAAACCTGTCTGATCGTCTAAATCCTGACTCTATCTTAATTTTGGTGGATCAAGTGGTCGATCGGGTCACTAAACAAATCTAGCAGTACTTGGTTAATAATGATGAAACATATATAAAATGACAGATATATTGCCCTGATAAACTCCCCATGATAATGACAGAATGAGCAGGCGTGCACCACAACCACATGAACGGAGGAGATATATGCAAACTCGCTTATTTAAATAATAACAAAGTTTAGGAGAGTTGATATAAATATCGGGCAGAGTTGGTGCGCAAGGAGTGCAAAAGTTGGTGGGTTCCCAGAGAGAGAAAGAGAGAGAGAGAGAGAGAGAGAGAAGAGAAAATGGTTCAACAGGAAATGCGAAAAGGTCCATGGACGGAACAGGAGGACATCAAGCTGGTGTCCTTTGTTGGCTTGTTTGGAGACCGAAGATGGGATTTTATAGCAAAGGTTTCAGGTTTGAAGGTGGCGGGAGATCACAAATAATAGGAATGGTTATTAGGGCTTGCTGCATCGTGGAAAGATAAAGCAGCCTTTAACCACCTCATTTTGTTGTAGGTTTGCATAGAACAGGTAAGAGTTGCAGGTTACGTTGGGTTAATTACCTTCATCCTGGTCTCAAACGTGGCAAGATGACGCCCCAAGAAGAGCGTCTCGTCGTGGAGCTTCACTCCAAATGGGGAAATAGGTTTGACAACATATATGCACAAAGCTAGCAAGCTACACACACACACCCCTACCTCCTTTTCTTTCTCATCGCGGCTTTTCTATATTATTCTTCCTCATCTTTAAAGCGATTCCTTAGCTTCGCTCGAATTCAGGACGCATTTCTTGATAATCTGTGGCAGGTGGTCGAGAATCGCTCGCAAATTACCAGGGCGCACAGACAATGAGATTAAGAATTACTGGAGGACTCACATGAGGAAGAAGGCTCAGGAAAAAAAGCGAGCGGCGGCCACTCTATCGCCTTCATCACCAGAATCCTCCAAGAGCAGTACTGGAGAAGAAAGCTTTAATGATTCAGGAGGTCCTAATGACATGGTGTCTTCCACAGGGATACAGATAGGGGAAGATCAAGCATGTGAACAGGAAAGTTACTCTATGGAAGATATATGGAAAGATATTTCTGTGTCAGAAGAGAACAATATTCTGGGGCCGGTCTTCGATGTGCAGAGTGAACTGGGCTGTAACTTGTCTTGTCCTCTCATGCCTTCCCCTTCCTGGGACTACTCTTCAGACTCGCTATGGGTTATGGACGAAGAGGAAAGTAAGATTTTTAACCCAGTTTTTCCCTTTTACGAGCAAGGGACACCATTTCTAACAGGCTAGCTAATTCGAATTCTTTAGTCAGTGATTTGTTGATATTTATACATATGTGTACTGGTATTATCATCTGTCGGTCCTACTAGCAAGTCTAACCAGAATATAGTGTTAATTAGAGTATATGGTTTCTTTAAGCTTTTTGTATGATTCTCCCAAGTGTGACGCAGCTGTAATCATCTCATGCATAATTCTATAACTTCCCAGTGCCTTTACTTTAATTTCCGCAGCAGTGATGATAAATCTCCACAACATCGTATGTTTTCAATGTAAAATATCAAGCATCTGTCTGTGTTCTTTGCGTTTTAGTCTGATCTAGATCCCTATCAATAAAGCTTTCTTTTCTTTTTTTTCCTTTTTAATAGTTCCGGTCAGGAGCTAATTAAGGCTTAAATGAATAGCACATGCGTATAGCTTACCAATCATAGTCACGTTCTAGAAACAGTTAATCTGATCAGGTTTACAGTCAATTATGAACTTGTACGAAAAGCAATTTGTTTTAATTTCCTTTTTTGGGCATTTAAGCAGAATGGGGATCAGTAAATTTCAATTCAAATTGGTTCGCTCTTCCAATGTGGATCCCAGTCCCAGCTGAAACCGAACAAATTTGCCCAGATATACGCGACCAGATATGTGGGAGAAATTGTTTCTCTCTGAAGTGTCTTCCAACTTAGTTAACTTGTATTAGGGATCGTATGCATGCATTTGTTATGGATAATCCTTTCTTAAATTAAAAAAAAATGTTAAATATATATGTGAGAGAGAGAGAGAGAGAGAGAGAGTAATCAAGCTACCATTCACTTAATCATATATCAATTCTGCAACATGGAGGAAATTTGGCTGGCATCCACCATTCTAGGGAGGGAAGAGAGTAATTAAGCCGCTGCCACGAGAACTCTGTCAAATATTTATTCAAGTTTTTACTTTAATTTATACATAAAACATATGAGAACAGTAAAAGATGCCTAATTAGTTTCTTTACTATGTATAACTGGAAGTTCTGTTATGTTAAAAAAGTACAGTGCATCTTTTCTTTTTTTAGAAAAATAATATTTCAAAACAAAAACTAGGATGTTTTAGTTAACACGTATTAAAAATTTTTTTTTATTTAGCTACAAAATAAGAGATCATTAGACGCGTGGCAAATTTTAAAAAATTAATTTAATCTCCAAACGTTTGGGTTTAACATATCAATTCTTTTTTTGGGCCGGGCTGCCTGTTTTATGTAAATGGGTCTATTGTTTATAAATTCTCTTTTGCATAGAGCAAAAACTCAACCATGTAAGTGTGGTTTAATGACTATCTTACTCCATTATTTAAATATATGGTGGGGGTTTTATTCCTCACTTATATAAATGGAGAGTACTTTATAGTCAATCATTTGCTCTCTTGTAAGAGACTCGTGGTAAAGGAACCATTGCTATTGGCGGTGGATTCCCTTGACAAAAAAAAAAAAATTAAGAGGGTTGGGTTTAGGTGAGAGATTTGTTCTTCATAATATGACAAATTAAAGTTTGAACCTCATCTAAAAAAAGTGTCCAGGGTCTTTAATAATTTTAAAATTTTAGTTTAATTCAAGGGAAAAAAATTAAAAATATTTTCAACTATGAAGAGATTAATGTACTATTTACTTATTATGTAGAATCACTTGTTAATATTTTTACTTCACTTATTTATTTATCATTATCACTTGTAAATTATATCCGTTTGTCAAACAAGTAGCAACATCAATTATTAATTTACTAACTTTATTTGTTAGTTTATTAATATCAGTTATAAATTTCAAGACTTATTAGTAATTTACAACTAATGTTAGTAAATTAAAAGGTAAAGTTAATAATTTAACAATTGATATTATTATTTATGATTGAATCACTAATGTCAAGTTTTATATAATTATTGACATATTAACTTACATAATTTATAACTTATATTAATAAATTAAAAAGTAAAATAAAAAATTAATAATTAATGATTCTGCATGACTAGTTAAAGATACTTTAATTTCTTTCACAATTAAAATTATTTTTATTTTTATATCTTAAATTAAATTAGAATTCAGAATTTTTTAAAACTCATAATTATGTCTTTATTTAAAATTCTCCCAAAAAAAATCTCTGGGTCGAAAGACCCGGTTACCCCAAATCTCCGTTCATGACTAACAAAGGGGCGCGCTTTTGAGTCGCTGCGATATCCACAAGCCACAATGCCTCGTCGGTCCACTCTCTATCTGCTCGCCTACAACTCTCTGCAGGCTATCGGATGGTGTGCCATCTCTCTCTCTCGTTCATGATTATTTCGTTTTCACTACGCTGTTTCACTTGCTCAGTTGCTCTGTTCCTTATTTTGCTGCAGGACCTTTTCCCTCCTTGCAATTTTGACCAGTCTTCTGTCCACTCGCTCTGTCGCTGGAACTTATGCTTCTGCCGGCAAGCTGATAAGTATGTATCTTCTTTCCCATTGCCTTTCAGCTCTCTCTCAATCTTCAAGAAATAACCTGGGGAGAATTTCATTACAGTTGCCTGGATCTAACATAATTTCAATCGGCTTTCAAAAAATTTTGAAATTTCACCAACGGCTGTGAGCACTGAAACGAAATAAATTTTCTCACCTGAATGATCAAAATACCTTCCAATTATAATTAACATTGTTGAAATAACAATTCAGGTTTTTATAAGTGCCATTATTAAAACAACAAGTCAAGTTATGGTAGTAATATTGCTATAATAATAAGTTAAATTATAGTTTTTACGAATAACATTAATAAAATGACAAGACAAATTATAATTTTTATAAATAACATTGTTATAATAACCAGTTAAGTTGTGATTTTTATAAGTAATATTGTTAGAACAAAAAGTTAAGTTATAGGTTTTACAAGTGACATTAATAGAATAAATTTTACTGGGTCCATGATGAAAAATTCCCCCCCTTTACGGTCTTTTGCCTCTCATTTCCACTGTTTCATTGCATGCATAATAAGCTAGGTTTTGTTAGGTGAAAATGGGAAGGGGATGAGATGTCTGAGTTTGCCCGACTGCCTCTCTTGTTTGATTTCTACGAAATTTGGGCACAATTTGTAAAGGATGGGATGCAAATGGAGCCTCTCCATTTCACCTTATTTTCATCTCTTGTGTGCTAACACACACAGACACACACAAAATGGTGACCACGTTGGTTTCCCCCCTCTTTCTCTTGCAAATCAAGCCTGTAATGAGTCACACAACACAATTTCAATCTTAAGAATCAAGGATGGGAGAACAAATTTTCGAGAGTAGTCTTGAATTTCCTATTGTATGGAATTCCTCTACATCTAAGCAGATGTATAGTTTTCCCATGTAAGACATGTAATTGGTCTACTTCACTGTCTTGTTGAAGGTTTGCTGCAATGCAGTGCATTCATGGAAGTCATACATGGAGCCGTTGGTAGGTTTGCTGTTGATGAATGGCTTCTAATTTGAAGAATATTCATTTTAATTTAAAAGAATTGTAAGACATTATGTTTTATAATTATAGGCATTGTGCCAAGTGGAGTATTACTCACTCTAATGCAATGGGGAGGAAGGGTCCATTTTCTGCTTGCAGTTGTTGATAAAGTTGACGAGGTTTATGTATTGTATCGAATTTTTGTGTTACGGCAAAGTTCAAACAATATAGCTTCATTCATGCTTGTTTAATTTACTGCATGTAACCATGCTGCGTGGTTTCTTTTAGGTCCAGGAGTCACCGTCAGTCTTTATAACTTTCCTTGCATGGAGCATAAGTGAGGTAAATTGCTTTCTGATTGAACTCACAAAGAAGCTGATAGGACCCTTAATTCTAACAAGCTTAAAACAAGCAAAAACCAGAAAATACGGTACAAATAGGATTGAAAATACTCTTGCTGAATAATAAATTTGGATTACAAGAAAGATAATGATTCAAGTTAACCCCAACTCCTTCATACACCCAAGCACTGGAACTACAGATAAAGTTAAAGAGTACACTGAACTTTACAAAATACACCCCCACAGAATAGAAGCACAAGACATAAGCCATTGGATTTCGAGAAGCTAGTACTCTCTCAAGCACATTTCACTTGCCAAAATATTGAAATCCCCTCCCTTTGGCAGAGATGGAGGATTTAAAGACCAAAAAGCTACAAGTCTACACTCTAGCTACACCTAAATCTTACTCACATGCCATTTCTTTTCCCTTGTAGCCAGGAGCCTCAGGATAATTCCTTTGTCTATTGGAGTTTCTCTTTCCTGCACAATTTCCCTTCCCATAGATTATGCTTTAGGCCCTAGGAAATGAGTGGTAAATCTTTTCTAAATCTTCAGCTCTATCAGAAGTTCAATCTCATGTATTAGCATGTCCTCTGTTCTCAAGGTCTAGAAACCTAGCTATGTCAAATAGTAGTGACTTGTAAAAACATTTAAAACAACTCAGAGATATCACTGTGACAGATATATCAAGGAAATGGAAAGATTAATAACAATATTTTAATTTGTGATATAGAAAACAGAAAAGCAATGCTTCCTTATGATCACCAGATCAAACTTAAAGCCCAGTCGAAAGTAGAATTTAAAAAATTTGATCTCCAGTTAAATACAGTACTGTATAAAAGGTAACCCTTGATAAATTTTTAACTTTCGCCCCCCCCCCATCACTTCAAAACTTTCTTTGACCTGTTAACATTCGATGTCTTGTTTAAGAAAAATTTATGGGACTTTATCAGAGTGCAGGTAATTAGATATTCACATTATGCTTTCAACTGCATCGAAAGTTGTCCTTCTTGGATCACCTATCTCAGGTTCTTTTCTTCCTTATTATTCCTTGTTTTCTATAACTTTGTGCATGACATCTGCTAGGTTAAATTTTTCTGTCATGTTTTCTGATAATACACTTTCAAAGCGTAAGCTTGATGCTTTTATTTTATGGGTTAGGTACACCGCGTTTATTGTGCTTTATCCCTTAGGAATTGGTCCTGGTGAAAGTGAGTCTCTGTCGACATTTCCCTGATTTTAATTTTTGTATCCGTATGCATTTGCAACGCATATTGGTAGTGCTACTACTCATCCATTCCTTTATTATCGAGTGTCATCACTCATCATGTTTTGTATAAACTAGTGCAACTGATTAGTCCACTATGCAGTGTGGCTCATGTATCAAGCACTTCCTATTATTAAGAAGAGGAACCTCTATGCAGTTGCCTTTTCTGGTCTCCCATTCAGTTATTATGATTTCCTCAAGGTAATTTTTTGCGTTTAGGTTATAAATATGTTCAGAAAATTCAATTAACTGCTTAAAGGCTGAGGATTTGCTGATTTCAACCCATCATACCATTTTTTATGGCAGCTGTGATAGTTATTGGGTGTGAGTGTATTGCTCTTGTATTTATGGTTAACCTAGCAAGAATAGATCGGATAAGTATCATTCTCTGGAATGACCTGAAACTAAAAATAAGCACCCGAGGGGAGAAAAAAACGAATCAATTGCTATACCATTGATTGTTCAATGCATCTGCACTGGACATAACATAGCACATGAAACCTAGTCCTTATTCTACATCATATAGCCTTGTTCACTACCTGACTAGGAAGGTGGCCTAATTGAGGTGCACATGGACTAGCTGGACTCCACTGGACCTTGAGATCCCATAAAAATGTGTCGACTCCTTTCCTTTTCACAAGTTATCTGCTTTGGTGAATTTTGCTATTTTCTTATTCTTTTATTTTCTTGGTTAACTTCAACGAATCAGGTTGTACTTGTATTTTATCCACTCCTCTGGCTGAAGCTTTATCTGCATTTGTTCAAGCAAAGGAAAGCAAAACTTCAAAAAGGCCATGAAAAGAAAAGAACATGAGGAGCAGAACTCCTGGTTTATAATTTGTTGACAATCTCGTGAGGTTTTGCATTCTTTAGGGTGATAATATGAGCTCCTGCAAAGCTGAGACTTGAGTGTCTCAGCATGTGGCACTTGCATCTAGTTGGTATTTTGCAGTTGACGGGATTTTGTTGCAAATTAATGTCTAATTGAATGGTCGCTTATTATTCAGAATTATGGATTACCATCGCAGTTGCTATGAATAAGTTACTGCCTGTAGTATATGGGGTGTTTCGTACAAATTACTATACGTAACTTGTATGGGTTTAGTCTCTACATTATTTCCTTTGTAATCTGTTGTGAACTCTCTCTTTCAAAGTTGATGCAGGCGTTCCTGAAACATATATTATAACATTAGGCAGAGTTGGATCTTGGTCTTTTCTTGTTTTATTTATTGTTTTCTTGAGATGCTAAAATTTGAAGATAAGCACGAAATAACATAATCATGATAAAAATAAAGGCAGTGAACCAGACAAAGCGCAAAGTTCAAGGGAATGAAAGAGCAACAAAAATGCAAACATAAGAGAGAGCCTTCAACAACAGAAGCGAAGGCAAGAAACCAACCCCACCGTGAACTTAACAACGTAGGTGGGGCAGAAGGGAGTTACGGTTCTTAATAGTCAGCGGTGGGGAGCTGTTGATGAGTGGTCTGGTTCATGAATATTATCTCATAAACAATGGCCGCAATGGCGGCACCGAGGAAGGGACCGAGCCAGTAAACCCAGTGGTTGGCCCACGTCCAGCTCACAACGGCTGGCCCGAAAGATACAGCTGGGTTCATGGATGCCCCGTCAAAGGCCCCTCCGGCCAAGATGTTAGCTCCGACGATGAAACCAATCGCAATCGGAGCAATTATCCCAATGTCACCCTTCTTCGTGTCTAAGGCCGTTGCATACACCGTGTACACTAGACCAAACGTCATCACTATCTCGAACACCATCGCGTTCCATGCCCCCACTCCTGAAGATAACGAGAAAGCTGATGTTTCCTGCCACGCAACACAAACACAGATCTCAACTTTCTATATCATCTGGTCGCAGTGCGTCACAAGCTAAGGATCATTAACTGAGAAAGATAGCAGAGCGAGGAGAGGACATAGGGGGAATAGTTACTTACCAGTCCACCAGTGGCAAATTTAAGGAGTAAGCAAGCAACGACAGAGCCAAGCAATTGGGCGATCCAGTACAGAATGCTCCTGAGGAGAGAGATGTGGCCCCCAATGAAGGCACCAAAAGTAACGGCGGGATTCACGTGGCCTCCAGAAATGTTGGCGCCGACTGAAACCGCCACAAACAATGCAAAGCCATGAGCCAACGATGCCGCCACCAGCCCTGCTGGTGTCGTCGATCCATTGTCCGTCAGCTTGTCTGCAAAACCATACATCGAATATATACAGTTAAAGACTGGGAGTGTTATCTAGGACGCTGAGAATCGAGCACGAGATCGAAGGGGCTTACTGAAAGCCATGCCGGAGCCCTCCCCGGCGAACACAAAGATGAGCATCGAAATGAACTCGGCCAGAGCAGCCCTGAGAGCATCGGCTTGGCCCAGCTCCGATGCATTTCCGATAGCAATCCTAGCAATCGCCATTCTTTAGGTGACAAAGAATGCTCTTGGCCTTGGGTCTGCTGCTTGCTGTGATACACCGTGCGACTCTAGTCCTTGCTCTGGCCATTTTATAAAGAGATAAATTAACAGTTCACGGTGTGGTGAGAGCCACGAACGATGGAAGATTATTTCAAAAATTGCTGCTTGGCTGTGCTGCCTGTCGGGGACGACAGGAGGGCCTCCGGTTCGCTCCCTGGATGCCACTTGGACGGTTTGATGTGATTGGGATGATACAATCACCGGCCAATCTACGGTGAAGGGGCCCTCTATCATTGTCCTATCTGGCGGACCGAACCGACCTTTGGATTGCTTTTCGGTGTGATGTGGACCGCCCCATTATTCTCACTACTGCTCAATCATGAATTCAATCAATTCATCCACATTTTTTAAAGCTTAGTTTAGTTTAAAGAGAGAGGAGGGGAGAGTTTTTAAATTATCTTATTTAATTTTATTAAGAAAACTGTACAGAAACAAAAAGTAAAAACCAATTACATTAAAAGCTTAAAAGTGGGAAAAACTTTAAGAGTGTGATCTACCAAAGTTTTTAATGAGAGGAAAGAAATGAGGTTTTTAATAATTTTTGTTTTGGTTTAGAAGGAAAGAAAAGGAGAGGTAATAATTAAATTACCATTATATCTTTGTATAAAAATATTTTATTTTTTAATCTTTTGTCACACTAATTAATTTTACATATAAACTCAAATTGTATAATTTTTTTTAAAAGCACCTTAATTTTATCAATTTTTTTTACTTCTTCTCCCTAAATAAATGACACTTTAATTAATAATTATATAAAACAATTAACATCTTAGGTAAAAAATTTCATAGGAAAGAATTATATATGTTGGCTATTAATAATAAATTCTTTTTCCTTTACTAGAGAATCACATGTTAAACATTTAATTCTTTGATACAAGAAAAAAATCTAATATCCATTGAAAGAGGCTGCCTATTAAGGAAATTAGAATACGAATGTTAACATAATTTTTTTTACATATGTAATAAGATCAATAATTGCCATCATTAATGACAAAATATATTGAGCAAGAGTATCTAACACAATATAATTGTCATTAAGAGCATCTAACATATTGAGCATTTAACAAAATACTCAAAAGTCATTAATAATGTTTAAGAACCACATTCAGAGCATCTAGCTAACAAAATATACAATAGTTATCAATAAAAGTCATCATCTAATGAGAATTATAAAACATCTTCATTATCACTTTCTTTTATATTGACGCTGGACATTGAGTTGTTGCCCTAACCTATCATTATCAGCTATAAGAAATTGATATATGTCAAGTAATCTTGTAGCATCACACCCATACTCTTCAAGCATTTTTTAAATTTCTTCACCTGACAATTGTGGCATCTTCTTGGAATTTTGTCTTATGATCACATTTCCTTATTACATTGCCTTAGCCATAGCTAACACTATTAATAGTAGTGGGTAAGTATTCTTGGTCAGGTGAGTTTTCTTGTCCTGATGAGTTTTCTTCTCCATCAAGCTCAACGTTAACTGTAGCTCTATTTTGAAAGACAATGTGTTAATATCATTGACAATTCAGTGACTTCTTCTCGAGAATGATGTCTCTTTCTCCACTCACGTGCTATCTTTCCCTCATCTCCACCAGCTCTATCTACTTTATATAATATCATTATTTTTTTCATAGTTTGAAAAAGGAATATTTCTCCACAACGTTACTTTAGGTTTAGCCTGAAAAACAAGTGAAGTAACATGGTGAATTGATTTGACAAAAAGCAATTCAATTGGAAATGCATACTTTCCCATTTCAAAGACCATTAAACAAGTATAACCATGAATTGACCAACCTTAAATTACAAAAGAATAATATAATCAATGCATATGTAAAAAATTTACCTTAATTAATGCATCCAAAACTTCAAGCTCGGCATCCTATACTTGAGTTGTTAGATTCCAAGCAAAACCACTCAAACTTTTGAAAATGTCATATACATTTGAAAAGTTTTTCTTTAAAGTCTTTCATCGATTCTTCACATTTTTCTTGTCAATTTGTTTACCGAATAAAGCACTCAAATATTTACATATGTTATCATAAGCTGTATTGTTAAAAATACCATTAACTTTGTGGCCCCTATTATATTTAGTCATGAAAACATCAACGAGGGCATCATTTATTAATCTTGTCCAGTTCAATGTCTCATTATTGTTGTTTGGTGCCATCCTATCATATAACAAGATAATCAGATAATACCAATCTTAATGTTAAAAGCTAAACAAATTTTAATGTCTAACTAAACAAATAATACTTAACAAATAAAAGTCTAATCAAACATCAGTTAAACTCAATATAAGTTAATATAATAATATACCATATTTCAATGTCTATAATATTACAACAGATTCTCTAATTTATTGAGAAAATGAAATTTCAATCATCAAGTTCATCTTCAAGAGCATCCAGATATTTTTGATAATCTACCCACATTTGATTGGCTATATTTTCTCTAATAAGTTTACCTCAAACAGCCTCATTATTGTCACCTCTCTGAGCACGATTATTATCATTTGAATGGTTTTCTCTTGTAAGGGCAACATCAACTTGCTTTAAAAGATCTTCAATAGGGTCCATACTTACAAGGAAGTTATGAAGAATGCAACATACATATTATCATTTTTGAGCTTTGATTCCATATATAGGTTTAGTTGCATTGGATAGAATGGTAAATCTTTTTTCAAAACACCAAAAACATGTTTAATGGCACTGCATAACTTGGCATGTTGAAGGTTAAATAACTCTCTATAATTTAGAGGTGGATTCCATTTTGAATATTCTTTCAAATGATAGTAGACTCCTTAATAAGGTATCATAAGTCCTCTTGTTAATATAAATCCATCATCGACAAGGTAATATTTACCTATCATAAAGAAAAATAATTACTATAATAATTTTAAATCACAAATGTCAACTTTATCAAAATTGGCAAAATATTTACTTTCAAAAATTATGAGCCTATCTTCTCATGTTAATGTATTTTTGATGATTATTGAGTCAAATGTAATACCTTCCTATCTAAGGAGCATATAAGTGAACTTTGGATTAAACGTGCATGCTGCTAACACATTATGTGTCAAGAATTCCTTCCTACCACGGCATCTAGGAGCATCTAAAGAAGGCACCTTGACTCGTATATGTGTTCCATCAATAGCACTATTACAATCCTTAAAATATGGGAAGAACTGCTTATCTTTTTCAATTTCAGAAAGGATGGTTGAGCTATTAGGTTGAATAAGAAATTTTTTTTCTTCTAAATCAATGATAGCTATCAAAACTTGATAAAAACGGTAACTAATTGTCTCACAGAATGCCTAAACCAAAAATTCACTTCATGTTTTTTTTGCATTGTGTGTTAATATATATAGAGTTTTTGTAACTATTTCTTCCATACTTGACCATCATGTAAGTTGCAGGCCAACCTCTCTTTCTAATATACCATATAATTTTAAGAAAGTTTTAAGAGTCATTCTAATGATATTTTGACTAGATAGATATCACTAATTGACTCATTATTTCATCACGCATCGTTTTTCTCTTGCTACTCAAACTATAACTTATTTTCTTTGAACACATCTCACTTGCATATACTTTTGCAAAGGCACAAGTAACAAGAGCTAGTGCTTTTCGATGCAATTCAAATCGATGTTGTACCAGTAAAAGATATTTAGATCCCTTGCTCATCTAATAAAGTAACCAAAAGCATAATGCAAATCAATAGACAAGCCACAATTATCATAAATAAGGGCAGAAGATTCAGTTTCATCATTAGAAAACAATGAATAATTATAGCTAAAATCCTTAGCAAAAACATATAAAATGAATTATTAGCATCATAAAGGTAATACGGTTACCAAAAATGCACTAGTCAAACTAGATCAATAGTAGGCATGAAGCAAAACACAAACATGCATTCATTTGTTCATGCACTCATATATACGTATTACATACAATAGGAATTTAATGTTTAATAGTCCTCTGAACATACTTCGTTACATTTTGAGAAAAATAAAACTCATAAATTTAGATAATTAATTTTTTTAAAACACAAAAACGAAAGTGCTTCTTGCATTAACTTAAAAACTCCAATAACCTTAGAGTGGATCCATTGAAGCATTCTTATGAGAGTAGACTCCTTAATAAGGTATCATAAGTCCTCTTGTTAATATAAATCCATCATCGACAAGGTAATATTTTACCTATCATAAAGAAAAATAATTACTATAATAATTTAAATCACAAATGTCAACTTTATCAAAATTGGCAAAATATTTACTTTCAAAAATTATGAGCCTATCTTCTCATGTTAATGTATTTTGATGATTATTGAGTCAAATGTAATACCTTCCTATCTAAGGAGCATATAAGTGAACTTTGGATTAAACGTGCATGCTGCTAACACATTATGTGTCAAGAATTCCTTCCTACCACGGCATCTAGGAGCATCTAAAGAAGGCACCTTGACTCGTATATGTGTTCCATCAATAGCACTATTACAATCCTTAAAATATGGGAAGAACTGCTTATCTTTTTCAATTTCAGAAAGGATGGTTGAGCTATTAGGTTGAATAAGAAATTTTCTTCTAAATCAATGATAGCTATCAAAACTTGATAAAAACGGTAACTAATTGTCTCACAGAATGCCTAACCCAAAATTCACTTCATGTTTTTTTGCATTGTGTGTTAATATATATAGAGTTTTTGTAACTATTTCTTCCATACTTGACCATCATGTAAGTTGCAGGCCAACCTCTCTTTCTAATATACCATATAATTTTAAGAAAGTTTTAAGAGTCATTCTAATGATATTTTGACTAGATAGATAATCACTAATTTGACTCATTATTTCATCACGCATCGTTTTTCTCTTGCTACTCAAACTATAACTTATTTTCTTTGAACACATCTCACTTGCATATACTTTTGCAAAGGCACAAGTAACAAGAGCTAGTGCTTTTCGATGCAATTCAAATCGATGTTGTACCAGTAAAAGATATTTAGATCCCTTGCT